TTTACACCGCGTGGAAATACTCACTGAAGCACACATTGACTTACAATTATATGGACGTCGGGTCCGCGCTAAAAAGTGTCCGCACTTGTAAGGCGCTACAGAGCGCCAAACTCCGCTTTAGTCTTCATTTGTTCGACTGACAGCGCGATACTGCGATGACATTACAATTTAAATTTCGAATAGGTTGACTTGGGACATTTTTTTCGTGGTTTTTGTATTAGACCCGTCGTCCATTTATTTGTAAGTCAATGGAAGCACAGGAAAACTTTTATGTATAGGTACATAGGGCTCACTCTAAGTTTCCGGAATAGGCCACTTATATAAACAATATTTAAAAAGTAAATACAACATTTGAAAATGGAACTCTTTGGCCGTAGAATAAATACAGTTTGTTTCATCTGACTGTCACTTATTTTTACATTGTGGCGTCATTTTAGAAATTGGTTGTCTACATGGAATTAACTCGTGAAAATTTTCGTAGTATCATTTTCTACGACTTTAAGTGTACTTTAACAGCTCAGCGGGGCTTCGCTCGGCTTCAAACTGCTTTTGGCGATGAAGCACCATGCAAGACGACTATTTATAGCTGGTTTGCAGAATTCAAAGGCGGTCGTGTGAATCTCAGTGACAAATTTCGTGATGGTCGCACATCCATTGCTGTGAACAAAAAAAAATCGATGCTGTGTGCCGTATGATCAAAACAAACAGGCATATGACATACCATGAGATTCGGGCATCTTTGGGCATAGGCATGGGTCAAATACAATCAATATTACACGAACATTTGGCTGTGAAAAAGCTGTGCTCTCGGCGGATTCCACACAATTTCACTGAGGCGCAAAAAACGGATCGCGTCACTTGGTGCAATGCCATGCTTACCAGATTTAACGAAGGGGCGTCAAATTTGGTGTGGAACATAGTAACAGGTGACGAAATATGGATTTATAGTTACGATCTCAAAACAAAGCAGCAATCGAGCGAACGGGTATTTCGAGATGAGATGAAACCAACCAAAGTGGCACACGTGCAAAGTGCCTATAAGCGGATGATTGCTTCTTTTTTTAATAAAACTAGACACGTGGCTACTGTTGCTTTGGAGAATCGTTGTACCGTGAATAGTGATTGGCAAACAAATGTGTTTGCCGGAAGTTATTGACAAATTCCGTAAAAATAACCGTTAACGCCGTATCATCTTGCACCACGATAATGCCAGTTCTCACACGGCCAGACAGATAAAAATGAATTTTTGAATGAGAACAATGTTGACCTTATGAGCCATCCCGCATACAATCGCAACCTGACACCTTGTGACTTTTATTTATTTCCAAGAATTACGAACCAATTACACGGTCAACGATTTTTATCACATGAAGAGGCTGTCAAAGAGTATGAAAAATATGTTTCAGATATTGTCACGTAGGAGTGGCATAAATGTTTTCAAAATTGGTTCATTCCTATGAAAAAGTGCATTAACGCTAACGGAGAATATTTTGAGAAACAGTATATTCAGTTATAGAAATGAACATTGTGGATTTGCGAGCTTACATTTAATTGTGTGTTTATTCATTATTCATTTATTCATTAAACGTCACTATATTTCTTTTCTTTTTTTTTAATTACCTCTATGCCTAACTATGGGATGCACCCATAGTATGAAGTTGTTATTGTTGTTATTAAGCCTATGGTAGCGCTACCATTGTGAGACACGTTCTGCAGTATCAAAATTCACAGAACTTGTAAAGGATTTTGATCAATGTCATACGTTTTAACTCGCTTTCCGCTCGTCATAAGGCCATCATCCCAACTAGCTAATAAGATTAAGGTGGGTGTGGTGTGGTGTGGCGTGTCAAAGGAACCTTGCACCATTTGCTACAGACACGCTCATGTCACTTTAACTCGACTGTAAATTAACACAGTGTTTAAGAATAAAAGTAGACGAAATAGAAGAGCTCAAAAGGCTGACTGATGCGAATAAAAGTTGTTTGAGTTAGTTTAGGTAATGTCCAATATCACAATGATGACATGGTAATTCTGTCGTCCGCTAACTAAAATGCTGCTGTAAAAAAAAAATTTGAGATATTATCATAAAAAAACGATAACCCAGTTTTAGAATATTGAATTTGTTTAATGATATTTCAGCCGTGCATCAATAGGGTATACAAAACGTTCCGATATGTCGGACACGTTAACTAACTTGAACTCTTTTAATTTTCAGATTTATTTTGTGCTATTTAAAACGGATATTTGACCACTTTTCCCTTAGCCGTGTTTTAGTTACTTAAAGGCAGAATTACAGGCACATGGGACTTGTCAGCTTGTGTTTCAAGGTGCAATGCAGTGCCTCTCTTTCATACTCGATGCTCTCTTTAAAGACCACTGCTATTTAAAGCTCTATGAATGTCAATAAAATGGCGGACCATTGAAGTTACAAGTACAGATTTACAAAGATTAATTTAATTTTAAGTATATTATGAAGAAAATACGAAGAAAGAAATAGTGATGAAGAAAGTTAAAACTATATTCCTTATTTTAAACCAAATTACGAAAGAGTTTATCTTGAAAATTCCGATAATAACAAATTCATAATTATTAATACAAAGATCGAACACTCAGAAAAAACAAATCATACATCATACAAATTCATAGTTAGCTCAAATAAGAGAACTAAATTATTTAACAGAAAGTGAAAACATATTGTTGTAGAATCACAATGGAAAATATTTCATTTGAATGCCGATAATTAAACGAAGACATGGCTCAAACAGGTAATTTTCAGGTAAGTTTTTTGTACTCAATTTTGGTGACAATTTCTTTTTATTTAAATATTTGTAGAATATCATCATGAAGCGTTATTTAATATTCGAGTGTGGTACCTAACCTGAAATATTCTTTAATATTTCACGAAGACATATTCGAGTAATTAAATAATAAAAATTGTCACCAAAATTGAGTACAAAAAACTTACCTGAAAACTACACAAAGGACTTATATCCAAGCCAAAACTCTTAATAAAAATAATAACGCACACAGTCAACATAGCCCCGCGCTAGGGAAAACCCTGAGTCGCGGGTAGTGCCATGGACACATATAGACAACCACAAATTACACCCAAACTCACGAGATAAATAAATGTAGGCCATACAAATATTTATCCCGTCTCGGGAATCGAACCTGGGACCTCTGCGTGGTAGTCCGGCATGGTAACCGTTCGTAACAGGGTATATGCGGCACTGCAACTGTTAGGGACAGGCATGTCGCTTACCACTAGGCGCACGACTTGTTAGTCCCGTCACTGGGCATAATAAAAAAACGTTAAAAACTTGTCTCATAGTAATGCTTTCAGTATCCTGCATTCATAAATGTTTTCTGCGGCTGTTTTTGAAAATCAATCCCGGGACAGGTCAATGCGTAACCATAATATCTAGAACTAGTTCATTTAATAGTAAGTTAATTTAAGTATGGAGATTGTTAGCTCATCGCTAGGTGATTAAATCACGAAGTTTTTACCTAGCTATATAATCGTTTTTTGTAAAACTTTTTTAAAATTGAACCATTTAATTTAAATAATCTCAGTACAGAGTACTAAAAAAACCGACCGCAAAAGTCATTCATCCCCTAGTTTGCGGCCGTTAGTGGTGGAATAATTTCTTGAAATTTAAATGGGGCCACTAATGAGGTACCTACTCTCTTTCCAAGAAAAAAAGAATCCTCAAAATCGGTTTACAAATTATTAGAGTTACCGCGTAACATACATCCAAAATAAACCTTTTCTTTTTTTAAATTTGCATAAAAGTGACTTAGGTAAGTCTCAAGAGACTGAAAATATTAGATCGAGAAGTTTTCGAGACTGAAATGAAAGCCAAACAAAAAAGAAAACAATAAAAAGGGAATTTATATTTTTTAAATTATTTATTTATAACTGCTCACACGCAACTTCTTAACATAATGGAACAACACAATACAAGATGTATTTTAAATGAACAGTCTCAGCTTTATTATCATAAAAGCATTACTAGTAATAATTATCTTAGATACAAATAAATGTAAGTATTTTGATTATTTTAGAAGAAACCAAAATTTTTATCTTTACAATGAAACTAATTATTTCAAGGGGATATACAGAATACCCTAAAACACAATTATAGCAAGTATCTACATTTAAAAATTATTAACTAGCTTTAAAGGTACTTTTACACATCTACAAGGATCTATGTCGCAGTGGAGTAACATTTCTATAGACCTACGTCGTTGTTTATTGATATAATGCTATATTTACATTACCGCGAAAAAGAGTGGGAACGAATTTTTGTAACTACGTTGTATGTAGGAATACCTTGCATAATAATAATAAATCCCTATAAAAACCCCGCTGGACTGCCATTGATGGAGAATACCGCCTCTCCCATTTAAAAATTCAAAATTAATCTTTGGGCCAAGTGTCTAAGGGCGCGTTCAAATTAGACGATTATAGAAGAGTTGCAATCGCGCCATTACTAATTTTCATACAGTATTTAGATTTTAGTAGCAGTAGAGCTACTTGGGAAAGAGTTCGTCGAGGAAAGTACTGCCATTTTACCTATTTCTGCCGCCAAGCAGTAATGTGAGCGTTACGGAAAGCCCCCAATCTGGTTTCATCATACCTGAAGAGCAACTACCACCAGGTTGCGATCTGCGGTGGCCCGAGTAGAAGTCCTTAAATCGACTTCGCACTCAGGTAGGATACTGCAGACACGATGTGTAAACGGGGTTTCAGGGATGCTAGACAACCCAAAGTGACTGCGGTGCCCCCAACACAGTCCATGCAGCACTTACTCTTGTGCCCCTTGTAACTTTATACCTGTTCGCGGGAAGATCTCTACGCGGCCATGGACAGTGCAGTCAAGGTAGCAACGTACTTTTCACAGTCAATATAGTCTTAAAATAAAAGAAGTATCGACACGATACGAACAAGAAGAATAACAATGTGTTTACAACAAATTTTAAATTTAAGCAGGAAGAGAAGTATGGTAACTCCGTACAAAGCAACAGCACCGCTTGTATATATACGCGACCGCCACGCGCGTTTACGGTCGCACACATAGAGCTTTAGGACAATTACGTAACCCACAAATTAGATACGATACGGTAGCTGCGGGAATTCTCCACCAGACGCCCGACCAGGTTATTGGCTCGTATCAGTTTTTAAGTTAAACTATTGGCATAGAGTTAATTTTACCATGGTTACAAAACTTTGCTTCCATTCCGTTCCGCAGCAATGTAAAAAGAGCCTAACCGTTGTCAATTCGACCAATGTTTTAAGTTAAACGCCACGAAATGCAGCCCAGGCCATAAATCATTCCATCATTCTCCATTTATTTGACTACTTTTTTTCCCCGTACCATAGATTTTCTGACACAATTCATGAAATTTCCAATTTGACAATGCATCTGGATTTTCCTTCACCATAGTGCTGTATTGACTTCTTATTTCTGTCATTTTCTTAGAACAAGTCACTGCGCTCTTGTTCAAAACATTTGACGCTTCCATCCACAGGTAACTTGGAACAAATTTTGGGTTCTTAAACTTGTCCAAGTTTTCTAAATACCAGATTAATAGTTGTTCAACTTCCTCGTCTGTCCAAGGAGTAGTCGATTCTTCTTCATCAGTAATTGGTTTTGGCTCGTTAGCAATAGCAATTTTCATAATGAATTCTTTTTCAAGTATAGTTTTTAATAAATCGCCAAATTCAAACTTCTCGCCATTTACTTCATTATTTTCACTATTGAAGAACTGTTTTAAATAATTAATCTTTCTGAATAATTTTGGAGCATTTAACGAAGCCAATTTTCCTAATTCTATCCATGCGTACTTATGGTCATATTTCGGATGAAGGAATTCTTCTAAGTGTTCTGAATAATACTGCAATGCCTTTTCTACCTTCCATAAAGGTAGAGATATATCAGTATATGTAGAACGCTCTTTGAGAATCACTTCGTCATCATTGTAAGGCGGCCTTACATATTTAGGTTTTAGAGCTAAGATTTTCTTCAACAGTGGAGCATACTGATACTGCCGTTTACTTTCAGCGTCCTGCTCTTTATATCTATTTTTAAGTCTTATATACATATTTTTACATGCTCTAGGTGTGGACTCTGGAAACTTAGATCCAATCTCATTCCACATTTCTTTTGTATCTATTAGTTTTCCTTCCTGACTTTTAACATAATCGTACACATGTTTTATTAACTGTTTTTTACTTTTCATTTTCCATATTGGAAGTTTTTTACGTTCTTCTATTTTGGCATCTTGGTTGTCTTTTATTATAATACGTGCGTTGCCGATGTCCGTAAGTTCTTCTCCTTCTGGTATGACGATTATGCATTGGAAATCTTCATCTGAAAATAGACAAGATTACGTTTAGAAAGAAATCACATTATAGTCTATGAAAACTATATCAATATAGAATAAGTTACTTTGAAATATACAACAATATAAATAACACTACTGACAATACTGCATCGAGTATATAACCAGAAACAGAGACGAAATAAGGGCCATATAATCCTGGTAACACATTAGCGATACAGTTCTTATAAATATCAACTGTCGTTTGCACTGAAATATAGACAGGCCAACTATTGACCTGTGTGTTACGTCTCCATATATTCCAAAAAAAATCTGTATTTATTGTAATAAAGATAATATCTCTAACAATGTCGTACTGTTCTATTAGATGGTGTGGGAAAAAGTTAAACTGGTCGATTTGAAGTGAAACAATTGACGACACTTGTCAATTGTTTCGAATTCGGGCTGGCCAATCGGAGCGCCGTTGTCACCGTAATGATTTGGCAGAATAGTTTTCAAACAAATTAAACATTTCGTCTATATTTCTGGTTATATACTCGATGCCTAGTCGTCAACTAACTACAGACAGTACAATGGACATCGTACTTTCCTTCAATAATAATTAAAAATTCAAAATAAACAATGAATTAAAATTATTTAATATTGAAAAGCATAATGACTGCAACATTTTTAATCCGAGATGACTATGATGGGATCTGAAAAACAAACGACAGTGGTGCTCTAAAAAACGCAAAACAATAATGTGCAAAAATAAAATTGTAAATCGAAAATATATCCATTGATGGTGTATAATCCATCCGTGACAGACTCTATGAAGAAAGATGAGAACACCTTGACTCACCTTCCTGTAACTCGCTTTTGATATTCTCAGTGATCTGATCAAAAGACACATCCTGATCAACCTCCATTGGTTCCCCAGATTGCTTATTATAAATCTCTTCGAACATTTTGAAATACTTCCAATTCACCTTACACTCAGGGTTCTTAGTAATCATTGTTTTGATTTTTCTGTACGATTTTCTCAAGTCTAAGAATTTGTCTCTACATGCTGTCTTCGATTTTCCCATTTCTTCAGCCAGGGATGCCCAATTTGAAGCATCATCAGTATTATTTGTTATACTTTGGAAATGGTTAGCAAAATGATTAATTATCTGTTTAATTTCTTTGGGTACCCAGTCTTCACTGTCGTCGGACTCTAATTTACCAGTTTTAAGTTTATTTTTAATAGCCCGATAACCAAACACTTTTTTGCAAAGTGCATAGTAAGGCCATAAAATTGGTTTATCCGGCTTATCAATTTCTCTTTGAATATATGCAACATATACTTGTTTTAAGTTTCTAAATCTATGAGCACATTGTTCTGCTGATATCCCAATTTGTTTAGCTAGTACATCCCACAAGAATTGTTTCCTCCTCAGTGTTGTAGAAAACTTATCTTTGTTCTTCATGTAGTACTCTAATATTTTGATCTGTTTTGGGTCTCCAGTGCCCCGAGATCGTTTACCTGAAGCTTTATCGGGGTCATAGTCTTCGTCATCACTTACATTGTCTGATAGATCTTCCATATTATCAGATGCTTTTTTCACTGTAACAAAAAAGACATAGGTAGAGTTTTAAGATGACAAGATGCCAGCAATTCAGTTCTCAATAGGAGTCAATGCAATGGTCCTACATAAGCACTACAAATAACTTAAATGTGACATCACTTTCAGTGTGTACCGGAGTTTAAAAAAACATAATTAAATAACTCACCAGAGGCAGCTTTCTGCCCTTTTTTATTAACATCATCTACAGGTTTCTCGTAGCCTTCAAGCAATTTGGTATCCATGCCATAATCAAATACCCGATCAAAAATTTCAATATATCTCCAATCAATCTGCGAATCAGAATCTTCTTTTTTGTACTCTAAAATGCTCTTGTATAAAGTCACAAGATCTTCCCATTGTCGCCTACAATTTTGGACACTCATGCTCAATTTCTTTGCAATCGCAGCATAACAAACAAAATGACAGATAGCATCTTTAAAGATCTCAATGTTGTCATAGAAAAAATTCACCAAAATATCAATATTTTCTGTTTCCAAGGGTTCAAAACTGACATAATCTTTGGATAGCTGTTGTTCTGTTTCCTTAGAAATAATGTTGTCAAACAAAATTGCTATCGGTTTTCTAGTCCGTAAATCATATCCTCCATCTAAATACAAATGTAAATGTTCATCTCGGAGGTCATGATACTTTTGTTTACAGTCGTCAGGATTCTTATCCAACAGCCTCCCAACTTCGTTCCACAAAACACTGTTTGGAATAGTCCGATCTTGAAACTCGTCATAACAATCAAAAAAATATTTGACAAGGACAGTTTTTTCTGTATCATTCCAGTCTAAAACTAGCACTGGTGTATTCAGTTGGACATTAACCGGTGTAAGTAATTGACTATTCTGATCTTTCACTTGCTTTAAACAATATCGTTGTTGAAATTCTTCATCATCGCCAAATATATCATCAAATATACTCATATATGGCCAATTAATACTTTCTTCACCTGACTCTTTACGTTTTTCAGTCATACGAATATAATGTTGCTTAAAATTCAGAAATCTTTTATGCCAATAGTCAGCATCTTCTCCTAATTCAATTGCAATCTTTATCCAGAAGTTTTTTTGCCACAAATGATCTTTCGGAGAACGTCTTTTATGAACCAAGTAAGATGTGAGCATTTGTTCCACTTTTTTGTCACCAGCGCGAGATTTCTTTGTATATGTCGTTACTACCTCATCTGGCTGAATTGAAGACGTATTAACTCGACCTATTGAATTCTCGTCAATCACGGTCTTGACCAAACTGTCATCATGAAATGCTTGATGACACAAATCGTAATACGCCCACCTTTTATAATCACGGCTTTTGTTTTTTATCTGATCCATACGTAGCAAAGCGTACTTTCGTTTCATGTTTCTAAGTTTCAATTCACAAGCATTAGGATGTTTGCCTGTTAACATGGTTTTGCATGCAACAGTCCATAGATGCTTTTTCCTTGTTATACCATTTTGGAAGTTATCTTTATTGTCAATGTAGAATATTAAGAGTCTTCTGATTTCTTCATCAAGCCAACGTTCTTTAATGACACCTTGTTCTACAGCAACAGTTAATTCATCTTCATTGCTCACTTCAGCCTCCTCAATGATGAAGTTCTGTGAAAGTTGTTCCAGCTGACCTTCTTCAATGTTTTGTATTGTTGTGAGCACCCCTTCCTCATTTGCTCCATTTTCTGTAAATTTAGCAAAAAATATTGATGAGCGACATTTAAAATTACAGTAAATTGATTTCCTAAAAAGGTATAAAGAACATTTTTTATCAATGCTCATCATTTACGCTAGCTCAAAAATGTAGGCTGGCTTAAAATAGGTAAGTAAGTGATAGGGTTATGTAGAAGTAATATTGATCTAGCCAATTATTATAATGTTTGCAAAGTACCTTTTCATACGTAAGATCTGTGAATAAAGTAATAAAGTTTTTGATACCTAATAATGTGGCTAAATTAAAATGTAGCTATAGTTTTGAATACTCTTAAGAGTTGTAGCAATGTATTTTATTTATAGATGTATTACAAAAGCGCATAAATAATAAATGTTTGCAATCTCCCCTTTAAAATCAAAAAAATTGTTAATGGTCATATTCATGTTGATTTCAAATCACTTACTAGTGATTTGTAAATTCTATTGAACAAAATTCGTCATACATCGACATGACTTCAAGGTCAGTATTATCAATATCGAATTTCAGGAATAAATATGGTAACTGTGGTAACTGGTAATATGTTTTGGTTTGTTTACATTTATTCCAAATCGAATTTAGTTACAGTTCTAGTTAAGTTTTTATTTGGGCCTCTCTTTAATTATATAGAAAAAAACTTACCATCAACGTAAAATAAGAGAATTTCTCCATTATTCTGCACATCAGTTTTGATTGTGTATGATTGATCCATGTTAATTGAGCGTCTTTACCACAACCTATAAAAACATTGAACATACAAAAATGAATAACCACTTTACAACAACACATCACCAATAACTTACAATAGAAATATACAATGTTATGTATGTTGAATAGAAAAAAGTCACCAAATAACTCTAAGTTAACAAGGGTAACAATAGACTAGAAAACAGTAAATTAGATTTATTTTTTGACATCCTGTTTCTGTATCCTATTTTTAATGTGTTTTAGTGTGTATTATATTCTTAATATTTGTATAAGTAACAGACCTAACAAAGTTCTACAAAGAGGAGTAATTTTTAAAGTAATATCAGAGAATTAAGAAAACTTGATTGTCTAGTACTATTATATTGTACTTCTCATACACACTACATTCACCAAGCTTCGCCGTATGTGTAAAAATATTTATGGTTTAATATTATTTTTGTTTAAGTTTGTATATTTGTAACTATGTCTCTCTTCTACATACATACAGTCAACCCTGTCTTCCACTTCAGGCAGAGACCTGCACTTGTGATGCTCCTAACAAACCTCTTTCGACCTCCTATACTTGCATCAGTCTCTTTATAAATGCCTGCCTATTCTTAGTATTTTAAACCTGTCCATTTTAAGGACTTCCCTTCTGATCAAGGTATGTCATGTAGCTTCCCATGGACATTTACTCTATAGATTTGTGCCATCAATCTACTAACATTGCACCTTTCTATACAACCTAACAATCAAAGCATTATCTTTTCTAACTTGGTCACCACATCATCTGTCACACGCAACGCAATCTTACTACACTGTTCAGCATTGAGTCTTTAGAGCAACATTGCACATTTCATGCAAAGCTCTAATTTCTACGTCCTTCATCTTACTTTCATGGTATCTATATCCAATACTCACTACAGCACACTAGAGTTGAAACCAGAACACATGGTGAACACTCAAATGCTCCTTAATTGACACCTTCCAGTATCATAAAAAAAAAACCAATTGCCTGGTCTGAAACTAAGGAATTCTCTGTGGTATGAGCACCAGAGCAAGGAAATTCACGTTGGGATACTTCTCACAACACCCAGAACAGCACTAACATAGAAAAGTTAATTTCCCAATTTGGTCCTGGGCCATTCCAAAGTGACAGGCGAGACATTTTGACTCCTTTTTTCTCGAACTTTTAAGTAATTTCTCCCTAACCATTGGTTTATTGGACTGAAAATGAAAATATCATGAAGCCATATATGCAAGTCAACCGCAATTATTTATTTCCATACATTTATGACATTATTTATATTCAATATTTTTAATTTTCTAAGTGTCATGGGTGGGACTCATGACACCTGCCTATTTTGAGGTGATGGCTTCATTGCCAAGATCAAGACAAACTATTAATATTTTGTTCAGCAAGTATTTCATGGGCTAACTTGAATGTAAATTTCTATTTGATGTATACACCACATTAGTAACTTTGATAAATATTAAGGAAATTAAATTGTTTAGTTGTGACGGGTGGGACACAATTTTATGACGCGAGGGACGAATTACAATTTAATACACAGAATTAATAAAATTACACTGTTTAATATGAGATCCATCGTTAGTAAGCAAATATTTTATAATTTTTCTCTTATTAAGACATTTTAACATAGAAAAACACTACCAGAAATCAAACTTAAGACCTTCACATCCAGCACCCACACTGTAAACCGTTGGGCCACCAAGGTTCAGGCCTAAATCAGCCAATAATTGATTACTGTATTACATCTCAGGAAGTAACAATTAGTTAGTTGCTATAACTAATCTGACTGTATAGGGCAAAAACTACCTCCTGCATGCTTAATATAATAGTGTGGTATATTTTAAATATGGAGTATAAAAACACCGCGAGTGATAGAAATATCAATATTGGTAAATTGATGGATTCTACTAATGCTTTTAAACAAACTACCTACCACTCCAAACTTCATTATGGGTCTAAATTACATACACACACTTCAGTACACGTATTACTCCGATGTCGATACAACAATTTATTGGTTATGAGTATATAATTATTGATTATAAATACAGTTTCCTGAGATATAATATAAAACTTTTAATACTTTCACATAATATCCAATCTACCGGGTACACTTACCACTACCATTCGAAATCTCCGAGATTAACATCGCAGAAATTAACGAAGTGCAAAAATAAACGCATTACATTGTCATAGCCCGCACTTATTCTTGTTTATCTTAAAATACCGATTAAACACTCACCAAAACAATAAAACTGTGTTTATTTTGGTAAAATTTGACATTAGCGGCGGAATTCTTCAGATTAAAACAGAAAATCCGTCAATATTACATCCAACAAACGCAGCAATGCGTTATTCAAAACTCAGAACGCGTTTCGGTCGGCCATTTTATAAAACGAACGAACATCGAACGTTTTTGGACGAACTTCGAATGGATAGAGTTCACTTGGCAATCGCCACAGATTATAAATCGATTTTCGACGATTTTTTTGTACATACTTTTATGCGTATTTAATCTTAAATTAAAATTTGTGATACAAAATATCTCATATTATTGCGTCATACTTCGGGGCAGAACCACCTAAGCTTTGATAAATTTTTATTTTATCAAAAATATCTATAACATTTTTATAAAATTCTAGTCTTATTTAAAAAATATCTTTAGCACCTAAGTTTAGCACTAGTTTTGTCGTAAACTTTCATTCAATGTGGTTGTGCTGCGGAGCGTTCTCCACGGCAGAACCACCCATTACTTATGAAAAAAAAAATATATTTACGAGGGGAATTTTAGGACGTTTTAGTTTGCATGAAAGTCGTTGTGATCGCACTCTAAAAATATTTTATTTATATTCAAAAATACTGTATAACAGATGTTCATACATTCGAACCACTAGCAAAAATGTCGTATTTTAAAAGGAAAATCTTTTTTCTTTTGATACTTTTTATGAAAAAAATTTGCTGGACGCTTAGACAACACGAAAGTGCAATTTTGACGGCCTTATCACCTTTATAAATATAATTTTATTATATTTATGAAGGTGATAAGACTTCATAAAGAGACGAGTTTTTTTCATCCAGAAATCTGGAATTCGAAAAAAGTAATAAAATTAATATTTCGTGGTTTTAACAACTCTATGTCGTTCCTTGTTGCTATATCTATACAGGTATCTATGTATGTGGTATACCTTTTTTGATCATCTATTGATATAAATATTTAATGAGAAAAAGGGATAAAAAAACTATTATAATTTACTTAAATTTTTAATTTCCATGATAAAATCAGTCAAAAATAAAATACGATACAAATTAAAACTTATGTACGTAAAGGGGAACAAAACATATCTTACAAGATAGTAAATAACATGCAGCTTAAGCTACTAAGCGTTAATTATGGATTTTGCTACACCTTTACTACTCGTTTATAATGAAAATGGATATTATTTCGTAATTCACGATAAATTAATACTGACTTTTAACAATTACAAAATTTAATTATAATGAAACATATTTTCGTTTTGTACGAACTACAAAAAAATACTATATTTTTATATATTATCGCATAAAATCACACTTAATAACATGAGGACTATACCTTTATAGAGATTTTTGATTAAATGTTAACTAGCTATTTGGTCTCGATAATAAGTGAATATATTTTTCATAATTTTGAATGATATGAAAATATTTAGCTACAATTCTAAGTTTGGCATTGGATGAAAATTATGTACAAGAGTTATTTATAAAATGCTGACAACCTGGCAGGACTACAATACTAACATTATAAACAACAATTTTTATTCAATTCATCGATTTTACTTTCGTACAAAAATAAAAATATTGAAATAGATCGCTCTAAACGGTGATAACCCTGTGTGGTAACGAAAGAAAGAACTGAATGCCAGTCCGATGGAAAACGCAAGAGTGGGGGTGGAGATCGTCGGGCAGTACGCTTGCACGTTTGAATATGGTAGTTATAGCTTATTACCAGACAGACAATACGAGATAAATTTAAAAGTTTATTTTTGGAAAATTTATTATGTTTTGTGAAAAGTTTTGAAACAACGTTGTTGTTTATGATGTTATTTATGGTTGAAGAAATATTATTTGCACCGATGAATGTTATCTCTTGGAACGGCTTATCCTTTCTATTACAATACAGTAATAATACCATTAACACTTCTTTTACTCAAAGCATACATGGATTTAACGCGCTTGATCCATCGTACGAGTCTTCGGTGCGTTACAATGCTTTTTCTGAATTCTACTTCAATACTACGTAAATTTTTTAACAGCAGATACTTCGTAAAATACCGACTGCAGAATCTTTGCTTACTAATTCAACAAAGTTGGTTCCGCATAAAGATTGTCAAGTTTAGAATTAAGTGCCAATGCGAAAAAGTGTTAAAATGAACTGTTTGCACTATACAGATAGCACGTGCGTTACCGAGACGGCTCACTCTTTTGTCGTATTGTATTCCAAAGATGAAGCGAAAATACGAATCGGTGCAAATAATATTTCGCCAACTATAATAGTATAGTCATGCGTGGTTGTTAGTATTTCACATTAATAACCTTGTATAATCCTACGGCATTTTTTAGCTATTTAAAGTTCTTATAGTATTAGCACTATCAGCTTATTTCACATTGTACAAAAATGAGATATCCTTATAAGAAATGTGAATAACACATAAGATACGACGACGACACATTTACATTTTAGGAGTTTGGGGGTGACATTGAGAGACAAAAATTATTGTCATCTTTTGTGGATTTTTCGCTTGGTAACATAATCTTTCAGACAGTATTATACGTATAATATATGTGACAGCCTAATTATAGGTAACAATGTACCAGAATTCTTAGTTCTATTTGTACTACTTACACCATAAATATTACTGGCCAACATACACCAAAAGCAACGCGATATTTATTTAAAAATTACTTATAAACAATATAAAAATATGTATTACAATAATAAGGTTTAAAAAAAATACTATACAAAATTATGCATATTTAATTTTTTAATTACATAATTCTGACGTTAGCGATGCCTACAACACGAATAACACAATATATGTACCATACACAATATATCACTAATGGCCGAAATAGGATGTTCCAAATGAGTCGATAAATGTCTTCAATAGGTACAATAAGTGGAGTAATGGAGTGGTTAAATCCACCACATATGAATTAATAAAAATTTTCCAATTCCAGATTTCCGGAAATGATCGTAGGTTAATAAAAGTATGTACAATATCCGCATTTGTTATAACAAGCTACTGCTTGTAGGCTATTAAAAATATATTTACTTTGGTTAATTATCTATTGCATTTAAAAAAATGTAATAGATAATTCATTTTCTATTGCATTTAATAATAATTATACATAAGAACAATTCTTGTGGCGCCGTGTAAAAACACGGCGCCACTAGAATTAGTAGAGCTATTTTAACGCAGGGGGGTCACCTCTCACGTCCCGCAATCCGCGCGCTGTAAAGTAATATGAATAAAATAAGAACAGGCGTAGAGTGAACAGGAGTGTCATGTCGTTAAACTACTGGGCAATTTGCAAATTTTGGGATAAATGTGAATTTTATTAATCTAGTAATAGGACTTCAGTTAAAAACAAAAATTTAGCAGGTTCTCTGTAGTGCCTAATAGAAATATCTCCATATAAAAATTATGTGCAAAGTTAGATATTTTATTCTGAAATAATTCGTTTTAGACTTTTATTTTCGCCTGTTTTCAGGATGTTATATGATCAGGTAATACATCCTATCGTGTTATACATTAGTACATTCTTTAATTAATATGCTTAGGTTGTATCTTATATTTTTTGTGAGACCGTTATTTAACAGTAAATACCTAAATCATTTGATCTAACAAACAGTATTTACCGCTTCTCCTCCAGTGACTCGCCTTAAAAATCCAACTTCAGTTTCCTAGGTCAATACTGTAGATTAGGCATTATGGTTTGTATTAGTGCTGGCTGATTGAATGTAGGTTTGTATTTAGAATTATAATATGTATATAAAAAAGTAGTATTGTAAAAAAATAATATCTTGGTTGTTCTAGAAAAAGCTTCGAACTGAAAACACGCAGTAAAGTTTTATTTACGAATATAATCCACCTCGTTTCTCATTAAAAAGTGCCTCTCGCTACGCCATCTCACGACTACGCCCTTTACAAGTGGTGGAGGCGCCAGGTAGCGGAGCGAGAGGCCCTTTACAGTACTTAGTTTTTATCTTAAGATGCAGTAAAACTATTTCCGAAAATCAGGAATTCAAAAAAGTGCTTAATAATATTTGACGGTTTTAACCACTCTATGTCACTCCTTGTAGACGTATTATGTACTCATTTGGAACACTCTATTCTGACCATTTTATATCACACAAACTATGTACCTATATGACTATATTATATTATGCACTTAATAAAGCCATATTTTTGGTTTAAAAGGACCCAAATCAATCAAATTATATATTTAAAATGACCAGCATTTTGTGAAATTAAATTAATATTAATCTGATACAGGGTGATACGGTGATACGTAAAAAATAATAGATTATCTACACGCTTTTTTTGTTCATAGTCAAATCGCTCCATTCTAATGGCACTGTGTATTTGAAATTACGAATATTCCTTTTTAAGTACGACTAAACATTGCACAGTCACTTAAACTAACATTAATACTAGGTATTTTCATTATAGGACAACAAATTTATGTCGCCTCCAGACTGAGTACAGTCGATTTCCTAAGATACCTGATCCCCTAACCGACTTATTTGGTTCTGATTAGATCAATGTGAAGAAAGGTATTAAAGAAACCTTTATTGTGTGAGCCGTAAAATTCATTTTGATTCACTTATTGTATAATAACGGAATGACGTTTTAAAAAACTTTTTAAGCGATTTTGATCTTTAATTCCTGTACGGTTTGTCGTTAGAGGTTTAGTCAGGGCCGGAGATGGATAGTGGGTTAAAACCTAATCAACCCGCCCGGATTTTAACCGGATTCTTAGCCAAAAAGCCGCGTTTTAAGCCATTTCTGCTCAAAATCGTGGGCTGAAACGGCGAATACGGATTTGGTATAATTCCATACTTATTACAAATTTCGATGTACAAAATCTTTTTTAGATGAAAAATTCGATTTATATCAAATCGAATCGTCTGGATTAGATAGAATCGACTTTTATTCAAATATATGATTTATACTCGATTTGTAACAAGTATTTTAGTTGTAAATAGTTTTTGCCCTCGATTTTGGACATTAATGGGTTTTAATACGATTTAACAAAGCGCATCTCTATTAAGGAATACTCTCGTCGTGTTTTATTCAAAGGAAAGTCGGTCTTCGTCATTTGTCCAAGAGAAAGTCGGTCTAAATTTGAATTCTGTCAGTGTGGTGAGTCTGCCTCATGGCCAGTCAATCCGCTGGTCATCATACACGGAGGCTGGACACGACAATTACATTTATATAAACACAAATTTTAACCAAAGAGCTGGAACGCCTTTACACTTTATTATTAATTGCGTAAGAAGGCTCTCAGAACGAAAAGGTCGTCGGTTAGAGGGCCATGTATTATAGGATATCGACTGCACCAATTTTTTTATATTTCAGAGGGTATTTATAATAATGACATGTTACAACTAACGTAAAAGCAAAAATACATTTTGTGACTTCAATTCCAGAATAACTAAATTGAAATTGCACACATTAAAGCGTGCAGAGTTCATCATTTCAATTTGTAATACCCGTTTTTGTCATCACTAAGCTCTTCATCCTTCAAAATTCTTATAAATTCATCATCATAGATTATGTAATAAACGTGGTAAAAATCTCATAAGCAATTTACTTGCATGCGACATGAGAACAATTAGTACAATTTGTTAAATAATCTATGACAATAATAATCCTCAAATAAAGCAACATTTAAGCTGCTAATTGAAAAGCAGCATATGTTCGAAAGCTCCGTGCCGATAAAAGCTTATCTTTTTTACCAAACTTCGCATTTACGATCAGGATTCATTTTTGACCCTAGGGGACATTTGAATTCTTTAGAAAATTCTTTTAGGTTTGATATGGGACCGATTACTCTATATTTAGCGATCGTATGGTCGTCTTTTTCTATTTGCATTTTCGTGGATTCCTTCGTCATTGCAGAACACCACACCTAAAATGAAAATATAAAATATTTCATTAACCATTCTATAAATAAAAATCACACAGTAAAATAATACCAACGTTAACGAATGTTAACAGTCAAATAGTTCTTACGTACAAGAACGATAAATCCAAAGATGGCGCTGTCCAAAGTGGGTTTATTTTTCAAGAGAATAACTTTACCTGAGCAAAAGATATGAAAAATAGCTGCCGATGGTTGTACTTGAGACCGGGCAAAGTGTGATTCACTTCTGCTTGCCTGCTGTAATCCAAATATGCATGGAAGGAGGCTTTTAAGCCACCGTTGTCGGCTATATTTTCACCTGAAATAATATTTTTTTCGTCAACCAGTGTTCTGTGTAAGTACAAGAGTAAATACAAGCAAAATACAAGATGTAATAAAGTGCACTGACCTATCCCTCAAATATTAGTCATCAGTAGATCTACAAAAAAGTTAACGTCACGATATTTAATCCTCAATACGTTTATTGACCAATAGCAAATTGGAATTATAAGGCTGTCTTTAAGTGTACCGTTAAATTAATCCTTATTAAAAAAATCATTTCATGGTGTGGTATTTTTTCTTATAATATTAAGTGACGCGATAAATAATAATAAATTAAAGTCTTCGCTATCTTTTGCCACTCCGAGGTTACCGACTTACTCATCTTACTCATACATCGACTTACTCATGGGCATCCGTCTTGCTAAGATTTTTTCTCCAACAAGATAATTAAAAAAAATCAAAGTAATCAATGCCGTAAGTGTTATGTCACGTTTAAGAATAAACTATTTTTTTATTTATTTATATTACAGATACTATAAATAATACTTAGATATTTTTAATTAACAAAGTAGGCATGTACGCTAACATACCGAAATTGGAGCTGTAGCGTGCTATTAAGTTTTCTAATTCTGAATACTTTTCTATTAAACATTTATCTGCTACCTGTACATTTGACAGTACCTACTGTCGTTAGAAACTACGTACAGTAACTAGCATCTATAAACACCGTCAATTCATGGTAACATGAATTTAACCAGATGCAAATCAATGCGTATAAAACGCGTTGTGACATTTACATATACGCAAGAACGCACACACGCTCAAGTGTAACACGCACGCAAGTGCTGATATTGACATGAAAAGTTTTATATCTCCAATGATTAAACAATAATAACCTCAGTACAGACTACTAAAACACCGGCCTCAAAAGTTATTTGATTTTATATAATAAATAGATAAGTTTTGTTGAAATCGGTTACCGGAAAGTGCGCGAAACCGGTTTCATCCCCAGCCTTAGAGGTGGAATATTATCTTCAAATTTAAATGGAACCACTACTGAGGTACCCTCTTTCCAACAAAAAAAGAATTATCAAAATCTGTTAACAAAGGTTTTATCGCGTAACACATATACAAAAACAGTCGAATTGGAAACCTCCTCCTCGGTGGGTTAAAATCAGGAAATCACCCTTCTAGCCACCATCATGTCACAGATCTAATACATCACACATGTTTTCGTGGGTGCGTAAGCCCTAAGGTTACTAGCATTCTAAAAACTGACCTAAAGTCTGTTTCCCGTTTAAATGCTGCCCTTCCTCGTTGTACGCAGTGTATTGCTTCTGGATACACTCCGCTCGCTTCTTGAAACGACTGACCGTCTCGTTGTTCCACCATTGGTTTAGGTTGCCATATCTAGAAGAAAAACTAAACTGTAATACAAAATATATAGCGGCATCTCTAACATTCGAGTCTTGAAAATGTTAGCGACGTTGTAAAGCATGACTATTCAAATTTTTAGTTCTTCTTTTGACCGCTAGAGGCGCTGCACGATTTGCTATCTCGTTACTTCGAACTAATATCAGTGTAGAATTATGGATGGCTATAAGTTCTGTATTATTATCAGTGATCAGAATCGAGCGAGTTAATTTAGCTTAACTAAAGAATGATGTGGACATTCTCTTCTACAAATTCTTGACATTGTTTTTTGATTTGGTCGAGTATTACTTATTTCACAGTTAAGTGGTCAATCGGACGTAGAACGACCTTCTGAGAAGACCTCTCAGAACTACGTCCGATTGACTACTTAACTGTGAAATAAGTAATACGCGACCAAATTAAAAAACAATGTCAAGTATGAAAATTCATTCGCATTATACGTCGTATAATTTGGCGAGTATTATTTATTTGACAGTAATTGTTTCGGACGGACATCGGACGGAGAACGATAGCGCCATCGCGTAGGCCGGATTACAATGAATATGAGTATTATTTGAAATGAAATTAAATATTCTTTATTGCACATTAAAAATTACAATGATAAAACAGAATAGTAATGTAAGTATCACAGAGTAAGATAATGTACATTAGGCGACCTTATTGCTGAGTAGCAATTTCTTCCAGGCAACCATAGGACATTAACAGTTGAAATGGGGGGCGCAACCAAAGAATATCTTGTAATGAAAGTGGTTATAAATAAGTACACTACTCATCAATAAATATATAAACAATAATATTAAATACACACATTATTAAAATAAATACACAAATAACATAATAATAATAATTAAATACTTTTGTAAGAATGTATTTATTGAAATTTGAGTGTACATTGGCGACAAATTATAATTTCCTATTAAGTACTTGATACAAATTATTGTCTCAAAAAATAATATTGTACTTGTGTTTCGACAGGTAGTAACGTATTTAAATACTTTAACCATTAAAAAAAGAAACATAAGTCAAATTACATTTTGGAATGTTTAGAAAATAAAAAAGAAATTTTATACGCGTTGATGACGAAATGTGTATGTCCATACTTAGAAAACGTTCATGCCTTAGGTAAATTAACTCTCTAAATTCCCGATCCCTGATTATTATCTATTTACGAGTATCTTTCAAGATGTCAAGGACAGGGTTTTCTCCAAATCTCGATTCCCAGAGCTTATTTTATCATCTTACCTGTCGTACTCCCGACCTTGGTCATCAAAAGCATGCGTCAGCTCGTGTCCCATGACGACCCCCATGGCGCCGTAGTTAACGCTCTTGGGGTTATCCCCATCGTAAAATGGCAATTGCAGTATACCAGCCGGGAAGACTATTTGGTTCTTTGTCGGGGTGTAGTAAGCGTTTACAGTTGATGGTGTCATTCCTGGAGAAAATGGAACCTTAGGTAATTTAAATATAAAAATTATATTCCATATCGAGTTCTTAGGTTTTCGCGATTATTACACATAGGAAATGAAACTATTTTTGCGGATTTAAATCGCGTATATTTGTTTTTTCAAACAAACCAACGTTCCAGGCCCTTTACAGCAACATAAGCCTCCTCCGAAGATTTCCAGGCTAGCCGATTGGATGGGACGTGCATCCATCGGTTACCAGTCGCTTTTACCAGGTCATCCATCAATCTAGTAGGGGACCGTCGCACTGAACGCCTTCCGGTTCATGGTCTCCATTCGAGAATCTTTCTGCCCCAACGGCCGTCAATTCTACGAGCTATGTGCCCTGCCCATTGCCACTTCAACTTGCTAATCCTTTAAGGTATGTCGGTGACTTTCATTCTTCTACAGATCTCCTCATTTCGGATTCGATCACGTAGTGAGATGACGAGCATTCCATTCCATTATTCCAGTTTTATTATTGAAGATTTTTTAAGGAGTGGAAGCTGTAGTAGAACTTAATAAATGAAAAGTTTGTGGAGTCCTTTGCTCTCGAGTGAGAATTAGTGCATCGGTCGCATCCGTTAGCACAGAAAGAGATAGAAGATTTTAGTTCGGAGATGTCTATATAAACTGGTTGGTTAAAGTTCCAACTTGTCCGCTATTGCGCTTTAGGTACGAATTAGTAATGCCTCGGTCACTGCTACATGAACTCTGTTGTAATTTAATCGTTTCATAATCATCATCATCATCATCATTAACCCATTTATATGTGCCATTGCTGGTCACGGGTCTCCTCTCAGGCGGTCTAGGCTAATATGGGTAGCAGGAGACCTTACAGGTTTTCCGAGGATTGTGAACGTTCTTCGATGTGCAGGTTTCATCACAATGTTTTTCTTCACCGGAAAGCTCTTGGTAAATTTCAGATTAAATTTCGCAAAGAAAATCCGAGAAACTCGAAGATGCGAAACCGGATTCGAACTCAAGGCCTTTGCTAAAAATCAGTGTTTTGTTATTGCATGTTCTGCATTTATAGACTCTAACATCTTGGAAACGGGGTTAATGAACTTTTAAAGATTTGATGAGGAAGAAAAGTCAGGTGTAAGAATAGTTTAAAATGATGTAGAACTAATGGAAATAAATATAACATACAGGACCTGTGCGAAACGTTGATTTGTTTGAAAAACAAATGTACGCGATTTAAATCCGGAAAAATAGTTGCATTTCCTATGTGTGACAATCGCGAAAACTAGAACTCAATATAAATATGACATGTTAAGGTTACAATTGTTCCACGTGGAACTGAGTACATGGAACTGCTGGGCATAAATAGCTTGATAGGCAAATAGGTCAAACATTAGAGCCACAGCCACTTCTTTTTACTCATGCTACGGATAAATTGTTGTGGAAATTTTCGCAGATCGATCCTTTCGTTACGGTGACCAATCTCTTTCATAACGACGACCGATATCTTTCGATACGTTGCGGTCAAAATTTCTATCATGGTGACCATTAAATTTGTTTCTGAACCTACAAGTAATAAGTAGGCGGGGCTGCGTCGAGACGCACAATCGCCGAATCAACGTGAAAAGTTTATATAAATCTATTTCGTTATGGTAAATGATCTCTTTCATTTATATTACGGTTCATATATTTGTATTCGAAATAAATTTTTAACAATTATCTTTCGAAGTTAATGTTATGGAAGTGAGAGTGGAGCCAAAACTAATAATAATAATAATAATTCTTTATTTTAAACAGAAACGTTACATGTCATTGTAAGGCCCTGACTTCCGAGCTAGGTTCAATGACCTGTGTTACGGAAATCAGTGTCTTCTCTCATAATTAGTTACATTTATTTATTTCTGGCAGTTTATATATCTGCTATTTATGTAATGTCTGAAAACTGGTTCCTGTAACGCTGAGTTACTTAAATTATCACATTATAATTGAAATAATATGTGGAAGTAATGTGACAACTTTAGTATGTCACTGGATTTCGTATTGAAAGAAATGTTGAGCAGGCTTAAGTTTCTTTATATCGTAATTCAACTATTAATTCACGTCTATTGCACCATGAACGAATAAAGACAATATCTAAGATTGTTCCTGTTTCTCTACACATGTCTTCTCAACTACCTTGCAAGAACAACCTAATATAAGATTATCAATGTAAAACACTCTTACCCCATTTAGTTTTATTCACAGGCTGATCGAGTTTCCTCAAGTCTTTCTTAAGACTGTACTTGTTGAAGTTGATGTTGTTCTCGAAGTACCTATTAGGATGTACTTCTAGCTCCTCGTATTGGTTATCCAGTTCGTTTTTGTCCAGGATATAGTCAGGAAAACCTGGGATAAGATGAATAATTGTGTCATTTGATAATTTACACTGTACTCCGTCAAATATAGCATGATTAGAAAAACAGGTCGGCAAAATTAAGGCGACGTAAATTTGCAGCAGCGTTCTACACATTATATTTATTTAAATATAAAAAGAGAATCATTTTACATATTTATGTTACCACAACTGACATGATGAAGTTCCGTCCGACGGAAAAACGTTTGTGTTGAGATACATCGAAAGCTAAGTTAATCAAGTAA